TGATCCCTGTGCCAACCCAGACAATGCTATTATAAATTATAGACCTAATCACATTGGTCATAGTGATTTATTCATCTGCTCTTTCCCCAAAATTTTGCAGAGTTACCTGCCATCAATTCCTCTCTGCTGTCTACGTGACACAAGTAAGTCAGTTGCTGTAAAAATAAATAAATGGACACAAATCTAGCAGGACAAGAATATTCAGTAACTAATGCAAGAACATTTTGGTATCCCAGAACATTCTGCTGCAACCTTGAAAGTTGCCATTTTTATTTGTATTCTAGAAGTAATTTCCCACAATCATAGTTAATCAACTGGTGGATTAAAGAGGCCATTTTAATAACTGTACAAACTGAAGATGTTATAGAAATACAATTCAAATATAATTAGTGTTTAAGTCTTGCTTATCTAGCAAAAGAAATGAGCAGCTTGACTTATTTTGAAGCAACCCGAAAAGCTAGATGCAAAACAAAATTAACTTTGCTTTGAGGACCTAGCTTGGGTAAAGAAACCATATTGGTTGTTCTATTATATAAATTGGATACATCTATATATTTAGAAACTTACTTGAAAGTTGCATCTAATAGAATCATATCTCTCGACACTCCAGTTTTCCAGCTTCGTGGCAGCTTCTTCCAGCCTCTATCCTGTCCAACATATAAAATTAAAAACTTACTATTTTACGTCATTTTGATTGGTCTTAATAAGGCATTGCCTTATTGTGCTTCCCACCCTCCCACGGACCAATTTGACTATCTACAGTGTTTGTACACACTTGCAGTGAGCCATATAGAGTTAATAGGGCCAACACCACAGCATTCATTTAAATGTTTCACTTGTCTCCAGGTGCTTGACCTTTGCAGAGCTGTTATCCAAAGTTTTTGGGTTTTTTTAATTTTAATTGAATTACACTAATATGAGAATGCATTTAATTATTTTGCATGTATATTCTTCTTATAACAAATGGCCCATTAAAAAAACACTATTGAAATGTTTGATTTTCTTCTGGATTCTTGTGTGTGTGTTTTTTTAAAGCAAATGTTCTTTTATGTAGGACTGAAAATTCAGTTTGCTGAAACACAAAGAACTAAAAAGTCAGCATGGCATTCCCCAATGGTTTTTCCACAAAGAGGCTTTGTTGGATTCAGGGAATGAATGGTGCATTGGAAGGTGGACAATTAATGTCCTTGACCATTTTAGTAAATAGATAAGAGCTGGAACTCAATACAAGCTAACCTTCAAACTAGTTCTGTAAAGCTACAGTGCATATCAGATTTATCAGGAATGGCATTTCTATCTTTTTATTCTGTAGACAATGTGCTTAGATAAGAAAATAAACTTCCCCTGACACTGACTGTAAACCAAAGATTTTCAGGTCTCTGGACATGCCAGATCAGTTCCCTTTCTACAGGAGATGTATGGACCAATAATGATGTAGAATTAATCAGCTAGTTATTCCGTGCCCTTTAGATAAATAGTTCTTTAGATAAATAGTTCGTATTCACTGAGCAGTGTGTTCTGTTACCCTTTCAAAGACACAGGGACAGACTAGACAGGATACAAGAAATACGTGACTGGATCTTCTAACATTTCTAATTATTCTTACAAGCAGTGATCCCTAGCTCCCAATATGGTATCATGGATGTGTGCTGGGCAAGGGTTTTTGTATGTACATATCCTTCAGTAAAGCATACTATACCTTCAAAGAAAAAGAAGGTAGGGAAGGTGCTTTTCTGCATGTCTCCATTATAGCTGTTTTTAAGAAAAAAATATAGACACTAAGATAGCTGATCACAAATTTTACTCACAGCATGCTGACTAAGAACATGCCCTAAGCAATCTCCAGTTTAAATTTCATTTCTACTACTATAGTATTAAACTCACTAGGTGGCATTAGTCAGACTGCTGTTCTTCGCCTTGCACCAGCAGTATTGTAGAAGTGATAACATACGCTCATTGTTAAAGTCTGTTGTCTTTCAAATAAAAACAATGTGCCAAAAACACTGTGAGCACTTTAAATGTGCTAGCAAATAATAAGTAATCTCACAAAGTAGTAAAGAGAGAGAGACATATGTATTTTTCCAGGAAGAGATTTCTAAAGTTAAGGGGCCACTACCTATATCTAAGGCCAACTGTCTGATGGTTGTGGCCTTTGATTCTCTGAAGGTTGAGAGCACAAACCCAGAAGCCACTTAAAAATCTAGACAAGGTGATATGGGTGTAGGTAGTCTTTCAAATGATCTGATCCTAAAATAAAGAACAGCAAGGAGCGAAAACGGGGCTTTCTTAAATGAACAGTGCAAAGATATAGAGGAAAATAATAGAAAGGGAAAAACCAGAGATCTGTTGAAGAAAATTGGAGATATTAAAGGAACATTTTGTGCAAAGATGGACAAGGACAAAAATGGTAGGGACCTAACAGAAGCAGAAGACATCAAGAAGAGGTGGCAAGAATACACAAAAGAATTATACCAGAAAGATCTGGACATCGCAGACAACCCAGATAGTGCAGTTGCTGAGCTTGAGCCAGACATCCTGGAGAGCAAAGTCAAGTGGGCCTTAGAAAGCATGGCTAACAACAAGGCCAGTGGAGGTGATGGCATTCCAGCTGAACTATTTAAAATCTTAAAATATGACGCTGTTAAGGTGCTACACTCAATATGCCAACAAGTTTGGAAAACTCAGCAGTGGCCAGAGGATTAGAAAAGATCAGTCTACATCCCAATCCCAAAGAAGGGTAATGCCAAAGAATGCTCCAGCTACCGTACAATTGCACTCATTTCACACGCTAGCAAGGTTATGGTCAAAATCCCACAAGGTAGGCTTCATCAGTATGTGGACTGAGAACTCCCAGAAGTGCAAGCTGGATTTCAAAGGGGCAGAGGAACTAGAGACCAAATTGCTAACATGCGCTGGATTATGGAGAAAGCCAGAGAGTTCCAGAAAAATATCTACTTCTGCTTCATTGACTATGCAAAAGCCTTTGACTGTGTGGACCACAGCAAACTATGGCAAGTCCTTAAAGAAATGGAACCACCTTATCTACCTCACGAGAAACCTGTATGTGGGACAGGAAGCAACAGTTAGAACTGGATATAGAACAACTGATTGATTCAAAATTGGGAAAGGAGTACGACAAGGTTGTATATTGTCTCCCTGCTTATTTAACTTATATGCAGAATACATCATGCGGAAGGCTGGACTGCATGAATCCCAAAACAGAATTAAGATTGCCGGAAGAAATACCAACAACCTTTGATATGCAGATGATACCACTCTATGGCAGAAAGTGAGGAGGAATTAAGGAACCTTGTAATGAGGGTGAAAGAGGAGAGTGCAAAAAACGGTCTGAAGCTCAACATCAAAAAAACTAAGATCATGGCCACTGGTCCCATCATGTCCTGGGAAATAGAAGGGGAAGCGAAATTAAAAGACGCCTGCTTCTTGGGAGGAAAGCGATGACAAACCTTGACAGCATCTTAACAAGCAGAGACATCACCTTTCCAACAAAAGTCCGAATAGTCAAAGCTATGGTTTCCCCTGTAGTGATGTATGGAAGCAAGAGCTGGACCATAAAGAAAACTGACCGCTGAAGAATTGATGCTTTTGAATTGTGGTGCTGGAGGAGGCTCTTGAGAGTCCCCTGGACTGCAAGGAGAACAAACCTATCAATTCTAAAGGAAATCAATCCTGAGTGCTCACTGGAAGGACAAATCCTGAAGCTGAGGCTCCAATACTTTGGCCATCTCATGAGAAGAAAAGACTCCCTGGAAAAGACCCTGATGTTGGGAAAGTGTGAAGGGAAGAGGAAAAGGGGACGACAGAGGACAAGATGGTTGCACAGTGTTACCAAAGCTGCCAACATGAATCTGACCCAACTCCGGGAGGCAGTGGAAGACAGTAGGGCCTGGCGTGCTCTGGTCCATGAGGTCATGAAGTGTCGGACATGACTAAACAACAACAAATGTTTACAGTTTTAGAGAACAACAAGTTTCAACTGAGTCAGAGCAGCTGGTATTTTTGGTGTTAAGATACTTTACTCTGAATCTCTAGCCATCAAAAATACAGTACCTTAATTGGTTGCAGCTTCTAAACCTTCTTTAAAGGCAGTCCTAGGTAAACACTGCCAACTTTTACTTGCGTCACTACCAGAGGATCAGTTATGTACAGTTCAGACGGCAGCACAATGCTTCAGGAAAACTTCCTATAAATTTTACTTTCTCCAAGGAAGTCCCCGGACTTTCTACAGCTGTGCCAGCATGTTTCCAAGCCAACTATGTGGGACAGACATTTATGTGACTCCATGGGTACTGCCCATGACAGACTGGCTCATTTAACCTCTTTGCCTACTGCATGCCATAAAGCCAGGTAATTTGAGAACTGTAGGCCTGTCCATACCTCCCAGCAACGTATGAACATTTATCAGGAGCTGACAAGTCTGTGATGAAGTAGATTATTCGTGAGTTTTCAAAAATCATTATTATTTCAAGGCACGTAAACAAAATACCTTGATGTATCTACTCGTTCTTCCTCAACCAACTATCGAAAAAGAGTTGGCCGGTAGCTTCTTTTGGGACATCTAAACACATGAGGGTTTTTTTCCTCCCTCAACAGAGCTAAATCCACATCGTGACAAGACCTAGGGGAGAGAACTTCGACTTTTCCCGCCAAATGCATCCACGGGTCAAACATGTCTTGTGGGTCGGTGTAAACGGGGGACACCTGTCCCCCAAATATTATGAGTCGCGCACACACTAGTCACAAGCTCCAGTGCTCCTTTCCTAATTTTATTCTCTTTTCTTTGCATTGCCTCCGCCGCCTCCGCCCCCGCCAAGCGCGGGTTTGCTTGTACCCCCCACCCAGTTTTCTGCCCCGAGCAAGGCAGTTGCAGAACGAGGCGGGAGACCACGTGGGCACGGCAGGCGTTGCGCGCGGAGGGGGCGGGCCACCCCGAGCGGCGCGAAAGAGGGCGTGGTCTGCCCTCGCGCTGGCTATATAAGTGGAGCGGCCAGAACTTCCCCGGCCGTCACTTGCTTTATTCCTCTCGTGGGTACTTCCGCCCTTTCCTTGCCGTTGTCACAATGGGGTGGGCGCTTCTGCTGCTATGGCCAATTGCAGGTAGAAACCGCTGCTCTTTATTCCCTTCCGGCCCCCTCGCAGCTCTCTGCCCAAACTCGGAGGGGAGGGGAGGAGAGGGATGCGTCGCCACGGTAACCAGTCAAAGGTTGCCAACTTTTCATAGAGACCCTGCTCGTCTGTCCTAAAGAATCAGCCCCAGCCGGTGTCCCCGTTCATTTTCGTGCCCATTGACAAACTTCACCCACACATTTTTCTTCACATCAAATTGCTGTTTCGAGCGTGGAGTAATACAGGGGGTGGGGGGTGATCTCAGTTACAGACCGGGGCAACCTCCCAACAAGTGACTAGTTAGAAGGAAAGAGGAAGGGAAATGTGATAGGAACTCTCCCATATTAGGAGAGATAAAGTTGTGTTGCCATATTAACTTGTGCCTCTTCTCCCCTTTTTTGCCCTAGGGCTCCTGCTGATGGCCCCTGTTGGGGAAGGCACCATTCAGGTGAGTTGGGGCGCTGGGGAAGAAGACTATACAGTATATAACATGCTCTTTCTTTCCCTTTCCTGGTACAGTACTTAACTGGTAAAATCAGAAATGCTGGTGTAGAATCTTCTAATAAATAAGATTAAGAACTTTATGTATCATGATCTAAAAACTGAAAGAAATATTTTGATACTAATTGTGTCATAGAGATGTAAGGTTGAAGGCAATTTCATGCTCTGAAAAGATGTGAATTAAGCCTCTAGCAAACTGATCAAAGTCTATGAATTAGCTGTAATCTGGAAAACTGCCGAAAATGGTACCTGCTAACTGCTCTCTATTAGACACTAGCAGTTGGATTTAAGCCGGTATCATAACCAATGTTCAATAAGAGATTTGTTTTACCAAATCATGACATTTAAAGCCACATGAGACAGAATACTAAAAAAAATTATATTCTCTAATGCCACCTAACTCAGAGACCACATGCTTGGAATTATGTGTTTTTAAAATGGAAGAAACTTAAAAATTGAAAGTTCTGAAACAAAGGCTTGATTTTCATACATATACTAAAGAGTAAAAGGCAAAGTGCAGACTGGATGTTACATTTTGGACTTTTTTCTTTTTTTGCTGAAATATTGTTTAACTTAAATTGGAGTAAAAAACTACAACATGATGAAAACTGAAAATCAGCATTGAAAGGAATAATTGCTTAAAGTTAACATCGTAAAATGCTAATGATTGTTTTCTATAACAAGTGAGTTACCTACAACAATTATAGTAGAGTACAATGCTTGTTATTATAATGGAACCTGTTTTAAAGCCTTGTTTCTGAATCTATTTACATAATTTTGTGGAAGTCCAGTAATGGATTGCTCTACTCAAATTTCATATGCTTTTTAAATACAGTAGATACTGTGTGTGGTGGATTCCCCCCCCCCGGTAATGAATGATATGTTTGCTGGCAGTAGATTAGTAAATTTTATGGTCTACTCACTTTGACCCATCTATTTGCAAAGCTGTTCTGCTTTGAAAAAAAGTCCTTTTTTAAATGTATGTGTAGATAAGTTTGAACAGTTGATGAGTAATATATGAAAGGCTATAATGATAAAGGCTCCCGGTTTCTTAGAAACAAGCATTGTTCAGTAGCCACACACCCTTGCCAAAGGTTAAGAAAAAATAAAGTTCCTGTTCATATATTACCTCTCTATTCCATAGTTTCTCCTTGGAACGTAGAGCTCTATATACAGACACAAGGACCCCTTTGTTCTTATGAGTCTGTGTAGCAGGTTTAGATAATAAGATCACACTCACTGGTGAGTTGTATGGTTGACGATGGATCTGGTGCTATGTCTTTCCTGGCCACACTACCCTGAAGAGGGTGCAGGATACCCAGTGTGGTGTAGTGGATAGAGTTACAGACTAGGACTTAGGAGGCCTGCATTCGAGTTCCTGCTCAGCTGTAGAAGCTCACTGGCGGTATAGAACTGGTAAGACTGCTCCTTAAGTAACATTACCTTGGAAGCCCTATTAGGGTTGCTATAAATCAGTTCTGAGTCAATGGCATAATAGGATAGGTAGATTGGGTTGTAATCTGAACACACAGTGAACGTGTTGCTCTGTAGTGTTGTTAAATGTTAGATTCTGCCCAGACAACCTAACTTAGATAGCTATTTTAATTATATACAGTGGACCTTAGTATTTATTTTACTCTCTATGAATATTAGTAGGATTTTTTGTGTGTGTGTTGTGGACTTAGAAATGCTACGTCAATATGTCACCAAAATACTGTTATGAGTAAATGTTACTAAACCTTTTCATTCCCAGCCTAAATGTGATATGTATGCTTTGCCTGGATGCCCAAGGAACTTTAACCCAGTTTGTGGAACGGATGGAGAAACGTATGCAAATGAGTGCATGCTTTGTATGACGAACAGGTAACATGAAGCTAATAAAACTTATTTTCTATCTTCAGTATCGTGGCTTTAGAAATAATAAAGTAAAACTTCCAATTAAGTTCAGTTTTTGAGGCGCTTAGTGAAAAGCTCTGATTTTTTTTTTTAAAATTGAACTAGAAAATGGGTATTCCATTACTTCCAATTAAGTTCAGTTTTTGAAGCACTTAGTGAAAAGCTCCAAATTTTTTAAAAGATTAAACTAGAAAATGGGTATTCCATTACCCATTTTCCAGTATTAGATAGTCTTGGGTTTTTCAAAGAAGCGTAGGAGAAACTTCAGAACATTTTGAACAGGGACTGAAAAACCACTCAGGTGAAGCCTGAGATTTTGTGCTAGTGGAATGAATCCTATCAACTCTGCACAGGTCAAAATGCACATTTGAGTCACTGTAACACAAACAGACCAGGTGAGCTGCTGAAAGATTTTGGCGGTCTGCATAACTTGCACACACAAGCAAAAGTCTCAAATTGCGGGAGGAAGGGAAGCTTGACAAACATAAAATGGGCTAGGTTTGTGGGAAATCATTCACTGTCTAGCAATTGAGGTGGCCCATGGCCATTGGTAAGGTAATAATATAAGTCTAGCCACAGAAAAGCACAGGGATCCTCCCGAAGCCTTTTCCATCAGTGGATATAGCCACAAGGCATAGGAGGTTTGAAATTGGAGTTTTCTTTCTCCTAGATGGGCTGCCTTCCAAGGCTAACGAGCCCCATCTACCTGGAGTATGGAATCTTTTTTAAAAATTACATTGAGAAGGGCTATACAGTGGGGCCGCGCATAGCGAGGTTAATCCGTTCCGGATTAATCCTCGCTATGTGAAAACATTGCTGAACGGAATGGGGAAAGCCATTGGAACGCATTAAACTTAGTTTAATGCGTTCCAGTAGGCTCCAAAACTCACCGTTCAGCGAAGTTTTCCTATGGCCGGCAGCCATTTTTGCGCCCTCGGTAAGCGAGGGGAGGGTGCGCAAATGCTGCGCGCGGCCATTTCGGGGCTTCCGGCGGCCATTTTGGAGCCGCCAAACAGCGAAACGCTTACCAATCATCGCAAAGCGAATTTGGGCCATCGGTATGCGACCTCCTCACTATGCGGATTCGTCGTTCTATGGTGCGCTCGTTAAGCGAGGCACCACTGTATAAGCACCAAGCTTTTCTTTAGAATAGCATGTTTCTAAGATCTGAAAACAATAATAGATGAAGGTAGATACTGACCCATCTGGAGGCCCATCTGCAACCCATAACGCTGTAGTGTTTGAGTTTGCTTGCTGCTGAAATCTGATCATAAAGAGATGGGGAGGTTATACCTTTCCTTACCAACCCAGCAGTGGGGGGGGGAGAGGGTTGTCACTGATCCTCCCCATGTTACACAGCCACCTCTGAGAAAGGATTATTCAACTACTTTCCTGGCCCATCTCTATACAGTGTGGATTGGATCCTGAGTGTGAGCAAAATCCAGTTATTTCAGGATGGGTATTTGTTGAAAACATACTTTTGTCAAGAAGTATTTTTGTCAAGAAGTATTTTTATCAAAAATTAGCAAAGCAATTGTGCAATAGCATCTTACTAAGGTAGAAGTGCAAATTAAGCAGTAGGTTTTTTTTTTAATGGCTTGCTCAGCGCTCACAGCTGCCCTCTTTCTAGCTAGAAGCTGTGTCATGCCTAGTAGTGTGGATGGAATTATTACAAGAAAATGGTACTACCTCTACACACCCCAGATAGAAAGTCACTTTCACTTTTGCATGTGCCTAAAGAGTGTGATGATTGACAGTTCCTAATATTACTCAATTTGTAAGCATCCTTGTTTGTTTAATGTCTCCTTTTATTGTCATTCTCTTGCAGAGAGTATGCCAAGAATATACAAATTGCCTATAAGGCATCATGCTCATGAGAATAGCTTCAAAGAAGAGGACATATGTAATCTGCAGTGACATTAAAACTGTATTTGAAGTGTGCCATCCAGGCTATTAACTGAAGCAAGCTCATTTATCTTTATCGAGCTTTTGAAATTGCTTTATTACATGTTCTTGCTGAAAGTACAGGTGTATTATTTTCTTTTTGAAGCTTCAGATCCCGTCATTTAATCAAGTTACTCTCTCAGGGGCTTTCAAGCAACAATATACAAGCATGTTCCATTTTCCTCACAATAATATTTTAATTTTTTTTAAAAAAAGTGTAACTTGATCAGAAATACATTGGGCTTTGATGTTTGGAGTTAGTTGAAGGTTTCATTTAAACTGTGTTTGTATTTCTTTTTATTTTATTTTATTTGAAATATTTATATGCCACCTTTCTCCTAAAGGATCCAAGGTGGTTTACAGTAGTAAAAGAAACAAAGTTAAAAGCTAAAAGAGAAATTATTACAATATTTAAAAAGCACTAAACAGATAGCATATAAAAATTCATAAATAAGAGCAATATTAAAAGCTGAAATATAGCAACATAATAAAATAATCCCTTTTAAAAACCCTTGGTCAACCAGTTATTTAAAGGCAAGCCTGCCTGAAGAGAAAGGTACTTTGCCTGCTTGTGGAGGAACAGCAAAGGTGGGGCCAGCCTGGCCTCCTGTGGGAGGGAATTCCAGAGTCTGGAAGCAGCAACAGAGAAGGCCCTCTCCGTGTCCCCACCAAGTGTGCCTGTAGGGTAGTGGGACCAAGAGAAAGGCTTTTCCTGATGATCTTAACGCCAGACTCATATAAAGGGAGACACAGTCTTTTAGATAGCTTATACGGATTACTTAGTGTGATACAAACAGTTTAAAGACTTTTTGGGACAATTTCAGCCCTCCTCCCCACCTGAACACATTGTAGATCGTATTGCTATTTGGTTGCATAGCCCACTTGTGACATGGGCCCAGCAGTGCTTATACTTGGGGCTGCTTTTCTACTGTTGTTGCCCATGGGCCCTACTGCCCTTGAGTAACTTGTACTGTCCATAATACTGTTGGGACTACTAGCCACCTAGGAAGTGTGGTTTCTGCTGTTGTACTATTTTCTCCAAGCATACGAAAGCATTGTGAGACCTCGCGAAGTGTATTTTCCTGTGCTGATGGAAAAGATGTACTGTGATGGTCTCTGTGCTGCTTCACCCTTGATGCTGATGCTGCCGCCTCTTGTCAGAAGCAGCCTTCAGCAGCATTGTGCCCTGCTTTGGGTGGCTGGCAGTGCATATGCAAACATATGGATATGCTCTGCCCACGATGAAGGGTCTGGTTTTATCTTGGCAGTGATTAAAAAAGATGTTGCAGAAAGTTCATTGACACTTAGGCTAGTCTTTTGATTTTGTTTCAACATCTGGAACAGATCCTCTGAGCAACATTTTGTGAAAAGAAGAGAAGAAATGGCTGCATTTGCCGTCACTGCTGTGTTATCCTTAAATTTGACTATGGCTGCCCTTTCTCATTTTTCCTTCTGCATATTTGTCCATTTTGTAGCCTTCAAGCTAGAGAGAGATCTTCGTTAGACCTGGTCTTACCAGAAACTCATGCAGTATTTCACTTTCCCAGGAGAAGTCAAACCCATTCTAATTACCACTGACTAAGCCCACCAATTAATGCTATTCTGCATTTGCACACAAATTATTTATTCAGGTTAAAGGTACATCACTCTCAGATAAAAGTCTCAGTACTACTAGCAGTGTTAAATATTTTGATACAGTGGTAACTGCATATAGACAGGAGCAGAGGAAAATAGTAGAATAAGATTTTTTAAAAATAAAGAAAATGCAACATGTGAACAAGTCTTGAATGAGATTCTACAAAGTATATTTCCCCTATTCCCCTCTATGTAAGTGCTAAAAGCCCCTGCTAATTTAGCCAACGAACAGCTCTTAATACAGGAAGGAAATTTTATCTGCAGATCTGAAGTCAACTTTTACCCTTAAAATTTTTTACCCACACTCCATCAGCCTTTCTACTGAGCAGCATCAAAACTTACAAGAAGTGTAAAAAAGCAAGAAAAATTAAAATAATTTCTGCTTTTGCCTCTAACAAACATTATTTTGACACATTCTTCCGTTTCAGCCTCCAGTTATTCCTGGCGTCTATGAAGCATGAGGCCCAGAAAAGAGGCTTTTAATTCCTTAAAATACCTACTTGACTCTACGGCTGTCTTTATCGGGCACTTGCACAAATGAGGCAACTCTTAACTTTAGCAAGGTCCACAGAAAGCAATCCACAACCGTAGGCACCTTCCTGTCCTGCTCCACGGATATTGACGATCATCTATTGTGTCCTGTCGTTGGTCCTTTAGAGCTGCAGGGTTTTGCACAAAGTTTGCATTTGAAGCTGGCTTCGGGTTATGCCTGCTCATTAGTGAGTGGTGACAGAGACTGCTTTTGGGATTTCAGCAGTAAAGAGATAAAATAGGATGACATTTAAGCAAAGAGTGGCAGTTCGGCGCTGGTTCTTGTATGTGTGAAATGCCCATGTGTTGTCTCCGGTTTTGATGCACTTAAGTACAACATTTATTTTGGGTACAGTATATTGGAGATACTCAGCTGGTGCACATAACTGTCAGTACATTTTAATTACAATGTGTAATCGTAACAGAAGCAATTTTCTTAACACCAGACAACATGGATAAGAGTAAAATGAGCACCCTTACAGTTTCAGCTGTACAGTAATTTGTTCTATCGCAAGGGGGCGTGCAGTCCTTAAAAAAAGAAAACTGCAAGCCCAAATAGAAAGAAGGTTAGAGCTCTTCCTACACCCGGTAGAGGTGCAAACACAGAGCCCCAGCTTCTGCAGCATCACTAGAACCTAATCCTGCAGTTTCTGGTCATTTTAGTTAGTTTCAATAGGGTGAATCCTTTCCCCTCTTAGTCACTCATGGTTAGTGGCAAACTGCATCGCAAACCCTGTGCAACATGCAGTTGTACTTTGTTAACAAAAATTGGGGAGGAACTAATTTTGAATTGAGAAACAGGAATTCCCTATTTTTCCATGCTCCCCCCCCCCATGCACATGCCCTTTCCAGCTTCCCACAACTTACATGTTTTCAGTTTGTAGAGATTCAAACATACTGGATATGAGGCATTTCTAACTAGTGGCAAGGAAAGTCACTCCATCCTTATTCTTGCCACTTAGAATCTTTAAAAATTGTTTAGGTTTCAAAAAGAAAGTGAAACTTAAGTGAGTCAAATGGGACATTGTTTGCATTTGCACCTAATATAGAGATTGCACCTGATTGACACTTGAGGGGGTGCTGAATGTAGCTGCACTGGGATATGGTGTATATCTGTCAGGTTATGTGGAGTACCGCACAAATTATGGTGTGTAGAGATATGTTCGTGCTGCTGCTTTCAAGCTTTGAACATACATGTTTGATGTGATCCTTGATGTACAATTTGTGCACTATCGTTTTGCCCAGTGTGTCCCCTTCAAGCATAAGAGTGAGTTTTTTATTTGAAAAATAGTGATCTGACAGAATGCAGGCTGCACATCTGCTGGCTCTTTTTCCAGTAACTACTCTTGTACACGTCATATGTAAATATGACTAAGTCAGCTTGGATCCTGGAAGACAGCTGAACATATACAGCAATTCCATGGCAGTGTAACTATTTAAGGCTGCAACTCTGACTCTTTAAGCTATCCTGTTTGCTTGTTTATTTACTATTAAGATTCATGACCTGCCTTGAATCTCATTGTCAGGGCCACTTACATAACCATTTAAAAAACCCTGTGTGAAATAAATATAAGAGGGATAAAAGAACCACAATACTGTAGTATCAAAATATACTGGATTTGCCAAAATGTTGACATCTAAGAAATTAGAAGTGTTTTTTTCCTGCACCCTGGAAACACAGAAAACAAGCGCCCTGGTTTTCAACACTTTTGCAGAAAATGCCTTCCCTCTTTGCAAAAAGCCACCACTGTTGTGCCAGGTCTACGTTGCCCCACATAGGACTGCAAGGGTTGGAGAGGAAAAGGCTTTTCTTTGTAAATGTGGCTTTCTGTGTGGGGAACTGGCTGTGCGGTCTTTACTGCTTGGCAGGGATGAGGCATTGCTTTCTCTTTTCTCCTATGTGGGTGGTAGACAAAGCCCAGATGCAGTCTTCTAGAAGCGTAGAAACAGTATTGTCATTTTTGCTCAACTAAAAAGGAGGGGGGGAAGAGACGGAAAGAAAGAGGGAGGGGAATGAGTTAGTTAGCTGACTCTGGAGCCAGAGGTTGGGTATTTGTTTCTCCGCTGTGCCTCCTGGGAGAAGAGCCAGCCTGTGTGGCCTTGGGCAAGCTGTGCATAGTCCCAGGGGATCCCGGGAATCAGGGAATGTTAAACTGCTTCTGAGTACTCTGTACTTGGAAAACCTTAGAAAGGATCTCCATAAGTCAGATTCAACTTGTCGGCACACAATTCTTACCAACGGGCTTGCCTTGGATAAAGACCTGCTTTCCATAAATGGAGGAACTCCAGTCAGGGAAGGTGCCTTTGCCCTTTGTGATGGGAATCCCACACCATAACGTACTCTCTTCAAGAGGCCCTCTATCAGCTGTGTGGCATTTTCACGGAGCTGTAAAGGACTGCTGTGAAAAGGAAAGGATGGGGAAAATCGCCGTCCATCCATCCTGTTGCAAACACCTAATTCTGGATCTAACTCAGGTATATTTAAATTGTGGACCTTCACCTAAATGCATTTTTTGCTGGACTGTTCAGAACAAACCATAAATATATTCCTACAAATATTGTAGAGCATTACTTTTTCTCCCAGGGCTCCACGACAGTTCCCTGTTTGTAAATATAAGGTATTTTACAGGAGAGAGTTCCTCTCTCTGTTCCAAACAGGTCTGGCAGAAATAATATCAGCAGTTAAAATATGCACAGACTCCCAGGAAAATGAGCGTGTCTATGGAAAGGTGCCAGCTTGCCTCTCCTAGTGCAGGACGTGGCTGCTGACTAGCAAGAGATGAGTGTGGTAAACCATGCTTTCCTCCTCCACACTTGGAAAGATGTTTCTTCAGCCATGTGAAGAAAGCTGTTTTTCTGCATTCCACGTCGGAGTGAACTCCCACAGCAGAACCATGCCATGGAGAACCCAATAACAGCTCAGCCTTGCCTTCAGGAGAAAAAGGAAACGGGCCGATGAGTCACTTGATAAGACCTGTGTGGGCCTGATTAAACTCAGTGGCTTCCAAAGCTCTTGGCGATGTAATGGAGGCAG